CGCCCTCGTAAATAACCTGTGGCTTGCGTCCCGCCTAACTCGGTGGTAATCGAGGCCGGAGTCAGGCCGGTTAAAAAAGCAAAAAGCAGGAAGGAGAAGCAGGTGATGTGGCTGCTGAAACGGGGAGAGGCCAGGAATTGGGGCCAGTGCTGTGATCAACTTGGCAAAGCCGCTGACAGGAAAAAGGAAGCTGGTTTGGCAGAGCAGCACCGAAGAAGGGACTGTGGTCCCGACAGTCACGTCGGCTGTCAGAAGCCACATGAGGCCCTTAACTCTGATGTGATGGGTATGCTCTGATTGATCTGGCTTAGCCATGGCTTTGCTTGCTTCTGGTAGATGCTAATAAAGTGGGGTGTGTTCTGCAGTTTCCCATGATACAATAACATGCTATTGGTGTCTCAGAGCCTCGTGGTAAACCGGAGCAATGACTCCTTCCCAGCTGGGGGGTTCTCCTGCCCACCCCCTCCAAAAACCTGCTGTCTGGTGAGCAGACAGCGACTGTTTGCTCCATGGGCTGGGCTGGTGAGAGGCAGTGCCTGTAGCTGGTGTGCACTGCCAGAAAGTTAAGCAAATCCATTCTAAAGTCCAAGAAGTGTCAAACACATGAGCTAAATCCTCTGGTTGGTAACTTACAGGCTGCCACAGGTTTTGGTTTGGTTTTATATAAATCAGTTTCTCTTTGCCACTGTAGAAGAGTGGCAGCTCCACAGCCTGTTGTTAGGCTTAAGACTGTAATATACTTGTATTACAGTGAGATGGCTTTATGTATACAATTAAAATGGTTTGGCTCCTATCATCTGGCTACATAGAACTGGATTTAAAATTAACTGACATACCAGTAGGAATCTTAGGCACTGCTTGTACTACATGAAGGATCTAAAAGGAGAAACAAAATGTGCCCAGGCTACAAATGCCTGTGCGACAGACACAGAAGATGAGAAGGAAAAACAGGGTGAATCATTAGAAAGGCAAAACGAGTACTGAGAGGACAAGGTCATGAAAGCCCAAAGGATGAGATTTCAAGGTGAATGCTATCAGCAGGCTCCAAGGCAGAATTAAAACCAAAAAAAACCCCACAAAACTGGAACTGGAAAAGCTGGGAACTGAAAACAGAGAGAATTGCAGATTAGTAATTTCTTTGTTCACTGCTCTTAAAAGGAGGAAAATACAGTGGTAGAAGCAGAAGGAAGTGGGTTCAAAATGAGTTGTAAATCCAGAGCATAAAGTGGAGAGATTTTTAATCTAGGTTTAGTGAGAGTTGTTCTCTAACTACAGGTATATGAGGTATGTCAGAAAAACTAGTCTAGACATTCTTCTAGCTTGCTTTAAACTGAGATTAATGCAACTGAATTCCTTGGATTTGCAGCATTGTTAAACTGAGCTAAATGAGAAAAGGGTCAAGGCTGTTATTTTCAAAAACTTCAGAAAGTCAAACAATGTCAGAAAGACATTTTGCATTTTTTTGTGTACTCTTTCAGCAAACACAGTGGAGATGAAACTCAATTGTCCAACTATGAAACAAATAAGAAAAGGAGCAATGTAAAAGTATGGTGCCTGGCAAAAACCATTTAATGATAGTTACTAATTCATGGGCTAATTTGACTTCAAAAGTCTTTTGTTCTTTCCCTCTCTTCCCACGTGTCTTTTGGGATGTAGTTAAAGGTCTTGGTCTTAGTTTTTACATTTGCTAATGTGCTGAGCTACTTCAGGTTGTCCTGACTTACTGTTGCCCAGTGTGGTCAATAGAAATAACAAATTCAGCAAAATCCATCTTCAGGTATATTAAGCATTTGCCGTATTTTGTGATTACAGCACTTCACCAGCAGCACAAAACAATTTAATGAAGGTTTGTTGTCCAGTGACAAAGCTACAGAAAAGAGTGTTGGTAGTAAGGAAATTTGAGAAGACAATGAGTATTTACAGTACAATAGTGTCTGCAACATGCTAGAAATGTTTTCTAAGCATATAAAGACTCTATTCATTTCCAAAGAGCTTGCTCCTTAAAAGACAGCCTAAGGACAAAGCACAAGGAGGCAACATATGGTATGCAAAGCAAAATGACCAACGCGATGGTTGCCAAAAGGGCCTTCTCTTTCTTTTCTGCTGGTTACTCTTCACTTGCTCCCTAATGTGGCATTTCCAGGATAGCTGATACCTTGTCTGTGTAGTGAACATTGGAAAAGAGCTTGACTGGTGACTAGGTAATTATGAGACATAGTGCTTTGCAGAGAATGCAGATTAAAAGTCTTTCAGGTAATACCAGTCATGATGAGAATGTTGTGGGATAAACGTGATACAAGGTCACAGATTTTTGTCACCACTTAGATATGGATCTGGTATGTTTATTAGAAGTTTAAAAAAATGTTTGGCAATGAATAACTTCTGTTGTAATTAAGTAGTAATAATAGCTGCATTTATACCATGCTTTATGTATTTTGAGTACTGCAGTGGTAAGGTTATATAAACAACACAAAAAAGCATTTTTGAAGCCCAAGGAGGAGGGGGGATACAGAATAGTAAGATTAAGTAAGTTTAATTCACAGAGCTAAACTAGCTTAGAAATAAAGTTTAAATAAAAAGTAATCTCATCTTCAGTTCCTGGGACTCCAAACTATGTTTTTCACTGCTGCCAGGAGGCCACTTGGAAACTACATGTGCTTCTGAGGTTGGTAGCGGTGTGAGGCATCAGTCAGACAGATGCAGGTCCATGACAGCATCACAATTAAAATTCAGAACTTGGGGGCTTGTAGCATTTACTGTCTTCCCCCTAGACCACTCCACCCTGTTCTTCAGCCTGACTGCTCTTACTCCACTTAAGCCATTACTCACTGATCTCAAGTGTCATTTTTTGTAGGGTTCCCTGCTCATGGCAGGGAGGTTGGAACTTGATGATTCTTAAGGTCCCTTCCAACCTTAATGATTCTATGATTCTATGATTTTTTAAGCTTGCTCTTCATGCCAGCAAGTGAACTGTAACAGGTTTGCAGCCTTTCCAAATAAAACTAGAAAAATGTTTGTCTGAGTTGGATGTTAAACTCACTTCCTTTCTAACCAGGACACACTGTACAATATACATCCACGAGGATCTGCAAGTGCTGCTTTGTTGCATGCACGCTCTTTTCCTGAGGTACGCCAAGCTTAGCATGGTTTATTCATCTCACAAATGCCTCCCCTGCCCCCTGTTTCTGCAAAGCGAGGAAGGGTTGCCCATGAGAGGTGACCAGGAAGGTGTGGGGTTATTAACTGGCTGCACTAGTGCTGACCAGTGCCATTATGGAGGAAAAGACAACCTCAGGGGCCCTCCAAGTCACTCTGGCCAGCACAAGGTACAGGGGTCTCACCAGTCTCCAAGATCCAGGCTTCAGCTCTCTGATACGCCAGGAGCTTGACAGTCCCCTATCACAGTATGAAGTGGCACGTGGCCCTTGGGACAATGAAGAATGAGGCTCAGAGCCCTGAAAATA